TGGATTGTACTGCCAGTGGCAGTGCTACAAACTTCAGCGGACAGGAAATCCTTTAACTCTGTGTCTCTACATTAGCTATGCCACTGCAAATGCATATTATAACTGCTTAAGGGGCATTATAAATATTCCTGTTGTTTTCTGTGCATGCCTGCATACACTGAATAACCTGCTGGAGCCATTAAAGAAAGTGGTGGCTCTGCCACTGTCATCACTGAAAGGGTGAAACCTGAAGACGGGTTTCAATCCCATCTGTGTATGTGGATCCTTCTTTTGCTGGGAAGCCTTTTATTGTCCCTCCTGCCTACCTCCAGAGCAAAGTTTTTGGCTATCCTTCTTTTGTCATGATTTAGACAGTAGTTCATGTGACCATTTCCCTTCTCAGACTGACTGTCAGTGACAGATAAAGTGACTTGTTCAAGATGCAGAAAGACTTGTTGTCAGTGTTGGGAAACCTGTTTTTAAGTCCGTAGCTTCTCAGTAATGAACTGAATCCTCCTTCCACCAATGGAATTATTCTCAGTAAATACAGCCAATATTATATACAGGTATCCTAAAAATGAAATGACAATATTGTCTGTATTTTATAAGACAACATTTAGATCTTATGCAGGAGAAAGGAAGTACAAAAGTCTCCTTGGAAAAATAAATTACCTGTTGTAGATAAATTTTATCATATAACCCTTGACTTTTTCTTAAGAGGGGCAAAGAAGGAACAAACAAATTCTTCTGAGATGAGATCAACCCTAATGGGAAAGACAGCACTACAGGATAAGGCACAGTCAATGCTAGATGGCTGCATGAGGGTTTTTAACATTATTTAATTAATTTGTTCTCTCAAATCCGTATTCACATAGGAATTGCTAAAATCTAAACCTTTAAACCAGAAAATCCTTTGTATGGCAAAACCAAAATTGGTTGTTCAGCAAATACAGTAGAAATATCTGCAATTAGTGTCCATTTAGCCTCAAATTAAACTTATGTCCCCAGTTTCAGGGAAATTTTGGTCAGTCAGGATCAGACAAGTTTTCACCAGACTTTTTCTGGTGAGAACATCCATGTTCTCGAAAATGCAAGTCATAAAACTTAATTTATTTTTTATATATACTAAAATTACTGATAAAACCAGCACAGGCCAGATGAAGTGAGTGTCCTTATGCTCAGCCTCCAGAACTAGTGCTGCCGGTGTCCTTGGTGGGATACCATTCCTGTCACACGTTGTTACTGACACTCCACACCATCCTCACTGGGTTCACCAGGACTTGAGTGAGAATTCAGGCATCACCTGTGGCAAGTGACTTGAGCCCTGTGACACTGCCACCTTGTTGCTTCCCCACTCTTGTTCCCCCAAAACACATGGCTGCCGCGACTTCCATTGCTCGGCATCACCGCACGTCAGCCTGTGCAGAGATAAGACTGGTTTGCCTGGTAAATGAAATCAGCTCTTGCTCTCTGGCTCCATTCAGAGCTGTTTGCAAAGCAGCCCAGAAAGGCACAATGACTTTGTCATCACTTCTGGTGACTAGGGTAACTGCAGTAATGATGCTTTCTGCCCTTTTTTCTCCTCATGTCTTCTTGTGGTGGCTAAGCTATCCTTCAGCTCTCCCACCACACAACCCTGCAGCTGCCTACATCTAAAGATGCTGAAGTGGCCATGGAACCTCTCTTCTTTGTTTCTGTCTCTCTGGACTTGCTGTTCCTCCTGTTCTTTATTTTACAGGAAAGAAAAGAATATCATTAAGTGCCTTCTCCCTCTCTCTTTCTCTCGCTAATCCTCACCCCCTGGTTTCATTCCTCTTATCACATCTGCCATTTCATGTCACTTCTGCCGTAACGGTACCTCTTGGTGTCATTTGTAGCAGCTGAGAGCTTGTAAGGCCTTAGGTATGGGTTAATACTCTCCTTCTAGCCCTCTGATCTTTAGACAAATAGCCCACAACTGGCCAGAAAAATGCTCCAGGAGACAGAATAACTACAAAATTTTACATAGATAAAATGGATAATGTTATATTCCATTGAAATGGAAAATGTCATTACTTTCTCATGGTAGTGTCTAAAGGTGTTGCTTTCTTCTTTGTGTGTTGGCTTTACTTGATACAGTCATTAAATCCTAGTGCTTTTGTGATGCTTGAATTTGAATACTTTTCACTCCTGAAGTGTGTGGTCCCTCCAGATCAGATCAACATTTCCCAGGTTAAATTGAACAGCAGACTTCAGCTTCTAGTGCTATGCTTAGCCAATGCCGGTTACTACCAGTGTCATTAAAGGAAGAAAATAGTCAGAACAAGTCATCTGTTTACAAATGCTGACAAGCTTTTCCTCTACTATGAGCAAACATTAGATGATACATGGTCATTATTGCACAATAAGAATGCATTCTGTAACATTATTGTTTGCGTTTTAACAAAGTAGAATTACATTCTTTACAGAATAAAGCACAACTCTCTTTATTATAAGTAAATGTTCTTTAATTTCACTATACAAGGCCAACACATCTGCAAAGCCATAGCATAAATAGCATTGCACTAAGAGTTTATTGTAGTCATTTACATGGTTTTGTGTGTGTGTGTGTGTGCCCGCGTGTGTACATATATGCACATGGTAATATTCTGTCTCTTTCTCTCTTGCCCCTAGGGATTCTTTCGGAGGAGTCAGCAGAACAATGCCTCCTACTCCTGCCCAAGGCAGAGAAACTGTTTAATTGACAGAACCAACAGAAATCGTTGCCAACACTGCCGACTGCAGAAATGTCTTGCCCTGGGAATGTCTCGAGATGGTAAGGAGTCAGATTCCTGCTTCACGCCTATACCTTTTGAAGCTCTTCATAAAATCCCTGTAGATTTCTGGAAAAGAGAGAAGAGAAGCTTCTTGCTTTGTAATGCACGCACTGTGAGACACAGATCTTTGCCATTCAGTTAACAAAGGAGGCTATTTTCATGGGGAGGGTGGGGAAATCACAAAATGGAGAGCAGTGTTAGTTTGGAACAGAAAGAGTCAGAAGTGAAATGCATTGTTCTGATCAAAAGCACAAAAAGATCACCTCTGGAAAGGTGGATTTATATTCCAGTTTAGATAACCTCTTATATTAAACATTAACATTTATCTTAACATTAAATAGTGATGTGTGAAAGCATCCCTTTTCTTGAGATCTCTAAAGGTCTGTGACAGTAAATAGGCAGTTAAGAAGAAATTTACACCTTGATAGCATCAGGGGTTCTGTTTGTTTTATTCAGAGCACTTGACCAAATATTTTGCATTGCTAAAACCCCATTTCTTTTACCTGTACATTTCCCCCTGTCCCTACTTGGATCTATAGAGGAAACTGTAGTTGAGCACTGAAAATGGACACTAAGCCAGAGGAAAGCTCAAAAGTGCATCTGATCGCAGGATCCATTGGTCCTTGCAGAGCTCTGGTCCATCTTCCAAGCTGTGGTGTGATGAGCTGCGATCGGCAGGCTGGGAACATGCACCACACCAGAGCTACGGGCAGTGGGAGGCTCGGGCAAGGCTGCCCACAGCCGACCTGCCCCAGCCACCGCTGCTTGTGCAGGGGGTTTCCAGCTCACAGACACATTTTAAATGGTCAGGAAGTATGAGTGCTATTTTTGAAGGCAGATTATATTAATTTTGATTGTCTGGCAGCAGTTTTCTGTCTTAGAAAGTTTACACAAAATGTGTCATTTGAAATTAGTAGTCATTGATGGGTAAGTTACTTAAAGAGCTATTTCTTTAGATGGTCCACAGATTATAAACCTGTTTAGAATTTGGACTGTAATAGATCTTTTCCTATCTCAGTATGTCTCATGTCTCACTGATACAACTTGCTCACCAGTCTCACCAGTCTGGGAGGGGCTTTGCAGTCTAGCCTTTAATCCGTGAACTCTTTTTGGTCCTAGCATGCAGCTTACTTGATGCCTTAGCTCCCGATTCTTCCCAGAGGAGATTAAAGTAGTAACATTTCAGTAATTTAACAGCACGCGCTTTCCTCCTAAAAGTAATATCTTCCAATGATTTGAGGTATCACAGGGGCATTTTAATGTGACTGACAGCACTGTCTTCCCAACCTATAATTCAGGGACCACTGCGTACAGACAAAAGGAGTGATTCTTCTGACAACATTGCTTTCTTCTCTCTTTGTTTATATAAGTGTGTTTATACTTAACAATATTAAGAGCTCTTGCAAGTTTAAAATAGGCTGTATGGATTTTTTTAACAGAGAAATTGAATGTGATTTTTACCTCTCAGCCATGTAACAGATTCATTTTTATCATGCAGAGGCAGGATGCTAATTGACAGCAGCTGGAGAATCCAATTAATGAATATATAATGAGAATAAACAGTGGGTGTTTGTTTTTATTACTGAGGCCCTAAATTTGAAGAAAATACACAGTTGCATTTTTCAAAATATAGTCATAGTGTATTGTTCATAAGAGTGTGCAGTGCACCGTGGACTGATTCCAGGGGCAGGCTGTGTTCATGTGAGGTAGCTTGCAGCCTGTGTGAAGAGCTGCAAATAAGCTGAGGTTGGCAACAAGGCAAAAAAGAACTCTTAGTGTAAAAAAGGTGTAAATAAATTGAAGAAGCTGCCATCTCCTTGGTATTCTGATATTGCGTTTTCCTATTACGCTCTTC